ATTTATCAAAAATAATCGGACTGTACACGTGTTTGCAAGCAAAGAAGTGATTCTGTGCGCGGGTGCTGTCGGATCACCACAATTGTTGATGCTTTCTGGTATCGGACCAGAGAAACACCTTACTAAACTAGGCATTGACGTCGTAAAAAATGCACCCGTTGGCGAGAATCTTATGGACCACGTAAATTTCTGTGGATTAGCGTGGACAATAAACACATCGATAAATTTACAATCATGCCTGCTGAATCCCGTTAATCCGTATATAAAGGAATTTTTAATAAAGCGAATGGGACCGTTGACAGTTCCTGGCGGTTTTGAAGCTATCCTTTTCGTCAACACAAAAGATCCAGAAAAACACAGTGGTTCACCGGACACAGGATTAATTTTTACCGCTGCTGTGCCGAAAAAATTGCTTAGCACTTATGCGCCAAATCTTAAAGATCATCTTTCTCAGGATTTGATCAACGATACTTGGTTTATTTGTCCAATGTTGTTGAAACCAAAAAGTCGTGGTAGAATAATGTTATTGGCTAATGACGTCAACGTTAAACCAGAGATCGTACCAAACTATTTGGATGATCCAAACGACGTCAAGACGATGATCGCCGGTATTAGAACTGCATTAAAAATTGGTCAAACAAAGACAATGCAAGCGTTCGGTTCTCAATTGGTCAATGTTACTCATACGGAGTGCGACAACTACGAGAATGATTCTGATGCTTATTGGGAATGTATGATAAGGTTATTATCTTCCACAGCTTATCACGCTTGCGGCACTTGTAAAATGGGACCTCGTGGAGACCCGACTGCTGTCGTCGATCCTAGATTAAAGGTATTTGTTTTAGAAAACGCACTTGAGTATTTGTACAAAAAATAGTTTGACATGTGTTTATGAAATTATATGCATATATTTGCAGGTGATTGGTGTTCAAAAATTACGAGTAGCAGATGCGTCCATCATGCCTGTAATTATATCGGGACATCCAAACATACCTACTTATATGATTGCCGAGAAAGCAGCGGATATGATAAAAAAAGAATGGGGTTACTTGAAAAAGTCGTGATAGTAACGAACTTTCATGAAATAATTATATCATATTTTTACTAGCCCTTTATAATTACAGTGAGCAAAATAATATTTCTCATAAATTTTGATTTACGAGAAGAAACCATACAGCACAGATAAAGGACACAGTATATTATATAATAGATTCTTCACCCATTCTAATGAAATGATTTCTTGAAAATGACCCAAGCGCTCCACGATGAAAAATAAATAAAATGTATTTTGTATTTTTACTTTCTAATATTGAAAATTTGTTTTCAATTTTTTATAATTCAAAAAATTTGTTCTACCAAATATAATACAAAAATATTTAATTCCAAACATTGTATAACACAATCATTTCAAATTCATATTCCAAAATATAGATTATAGATCAATTGGTAAACGGATGAAAATATCTTCATATGCGCGCTATTCTAATTGTACTAGTCACTAATAATCTCATTGGTATATTCCCATTACACATTTCCATCCCATTTATTTGCGATACAAGAGAATGATTATTAAATTAAGTAGATACGAAAGTAAATAGTAATGGAGAATAAATTGTGCAACTGCAGACGAATAACATTTCAAAATAGACGTATAAAGTTCTTTTATTTTACGATAAAGCTTCAATCCATTGTTTTAATAATCTATACGCATTTTAACTGTTTCTGCAATGAGTACGTACACTTACAATCTTGAAATTGGAAGTCCGGCTCACACATTGCAGAACATCGCATCGACGACTATTAACGGATTTATTTAGTTATTGCAGTGCCTATTAGCGGAAGTTATTTAATTATTATTTATCGTTGAAAAAAGCCCGAAGGGAGCCGAAACATATACAATTTGGAAAGAAGTTGAAGAATATGTAATATAATGAATAAATTGATTTAAGAATTTTTACGCATCAAGTCCTGCGTATTGACTCATAGTTGCCTTTTCTATTTGTATTATTTTAAAATTAAGAGTCAGATTATAGATTGTAATTTAGTAAAATTTTATTTATGTAAAGTGTGTATAAAGAAATATTATGATTTGTTATGCAAAATGTACGTGTGGCAAAATCGAAACTATATTCGAAAAATTTAGGCTTAAATAAAATAAATCAAATAAATAGGAATAAAGCCAATGTAAGCCGATACAGGATGAACGTATGTTTAAAATATATCAAGCGACGCAGTAGCGACGCGACGCCAAGTATATAAAAGTCGGGCGATGACCTGTGATATTAGATAAATACAAAAGTAAACGTTTCAGCTCCCATTTGAGCTCTCCTCAATACAATAAGTATAAATGGAAAGACCATTACATATATATATATATATATATACAGAAAAATATGCGTGTGCGACAAAATTTATGCTAATTGCTAACATTTCTAGTGGACGTATATATTTATAAAATTGTTATTATAGCCAACATAATCATTTTCTAAACTATACATTGACATAAACATATACATATGCTGCATAATCCTATCCTATCTAAAAAAAAAGGCATGTAAAGTCGATAACTCGCATTTCTCGAAATTATTTGCTGTCGCTTTTCCGCGATGCTGATTGGTTGTCTCGCTGCGCTTACTTCGTGTAAGTGACTGTGTCATTGCATTTTGACAGTCGTGTGTATTGAGGTTGATGTAATTGTAAATTATAATAAGAAGCTTTGCGCGCGCTATTTGACTTTTTTTTTATTTCTTACTATAACAACGTTTATAATGCATACAATTACATTGTATTAGACTATTAATCCTTCGATACGCACAACTGTCAAAATATGCAATGACAACCGAAGTTAGCGTACCGAGAGAACCAATCAGCATTGCGAAAAAAATTCAACGAAACTTTGAGAAGATTTCGAAAGATGCGAGTATTGATTTAATGCCTTCTTTTAAATAAGATTATGTTTTCTTAACAACCATTGATTTATTTTATTATTTTATGCTTACAATTATTAAATTATAGTTATTAAGTATAAAAAAAAAATGAATAATTTACAAAATATTTCATATTTCATGTCACAAAATATACCATAAAAAAAATGAAATATCTTGAAAACAATTTTTTTATAAGTCTAAATATTTTTATATGCAGAATAATTAGGAGGGTTATATTATGTAAAAAAAAACTACAATTTTATTTCAAAAAATGATATTGGTCTTTCTGAAACCTTGAAAAACCGATTTTTATCGACAATTAATTTTATCATTATTTGAAGAATACCTTTTAAAAATGTATAATCATTCTTCATCTGAAACATTTTCCACAATAATGCATCATGAGTCATTTTATTTTTATTAAAATGGAATACCATGTACATTAGAAATGTGCAAATAGTTTCTAATTCGAATCGAATCAAATTGAATCGCAGTGAATTCGATTCGAGTTTGTTTCCGAATCTGTAAGATTTGAAATCGAATAATTCGAGTCAATAATGGTTCGATTTTGAATCGATCACCTATATATTGATTTACTTTATTTATATCTTCTGCGTGACCAATTATTCTTATCTAATAAATAAATAAGTGTTTTTGATATGTATGTAATATATCCATAAAGATTAATAAAATGTTTGAAAGCATTCTAACTATTCTTGTATAAACATGTTAATATAATAATATATTTCCTATGTCTCTTTTCAAAATGTTACAGATCATTCGTAATAAGATGTAAATCAAAAAGAGGTCTTCAGTTTGTTTAAATTGCGTAAAATAATATAAATCATAAATTTTAATATTTATTACGTTTAAATTAACATGTAATGTGAATTTGATTCAGATTCAATTCGTATTCGAATTAAAGAGATTCGATTCGGTTCGATTCGATTTTGAACATGTCATCAAAAATTCGATTCGATTCGATTCGACTACGCAAATGCTTGATTCGCACACCTCTAGTATATATCTCCATTGGTGTCGTGTGCAATAATACTTCTTCTACGAAATAATTTTTCTTACCGAGTCTTGTGTGCAAGAGCCATGAGAATAGACGTCTAGTAAGGAGAGACACTAATTGCCAGCATATAAAGGCAATCTAAAGCTAATAAAAACGTATTTTGAGGCTTTCTAGTTCTTATTAAATCTATTATCGCGTATGCAGTGATCAGTGTAGTAAAGGTATGGATTTCAAAAAGACATATAAGCATATGTTGAGCATGCAGGTAAAATTTCTACTACTATTTTTACACTTTATTCCAGATATTCAAAAATCAATTAATATTCAAGTATGTTGAACAAGATACAGAGTCTCCTTTATATTCTCAATATCAACGCGATGATATTCATCAACTCGTTATATGGACACCCATGTTACAACAGTCTTCATGACAATAATAGTAGCGAATTAAAATTATCGAAATTTTTAAAACTAGATATGAAGCACTTCTTACTGCAGACCCAACATTATTTAAATCAAGAAACAGTGGACATGACACCACAATACGGAGACACGTTTGATTTTATAATAATTGGCGCTGGTACAGCCGGTATTCCAACAGCAGCGAGATTGAGCGAAATTTCTCAGATCAAAACGTTGCTGCTCGAAGCCGGATCCCACGAAAATCTTTATATGGACATTCCTATAACTGCTCCCAACCTATTGTTGGACAATAACATCAATTGGAACTACAAAACAAAATCGTCCAACAAATACTGTCGTGGCATGAATGGTAACAGATGCGTTTGGCCAAGGGGAAAAGTAGTCGGTGGCAGCAGTACTATAAACGGTATGATAGCTACTAGAGGAGGAGCTGAGGATTACGATCGTTGGGCAGATATGGGAAATGAAGGCTGGGCATACGAGGACATTCACAAGTATTTTAAAAAATTGGAAACAATGAATATTCCGGAGCTGAAGTCGGATACTATTTATCATGGTACTGACGGGCCAGTACATATCACTTCTCCGTCATATAAAACATCATTAGCAGAGGCCTTTCTAAAAGCTGGTAAAGAACTGCGATACCCGATAGTAGATTATAATGGAAAAAACATGATAGGATTCTCATATGTGCAAGCTACAATTATGAACGGCACTCGCATGAGTAGCAATAGGGCATATTTACATCCCATACGTAATCGCGACAATCTTCATATCATTCTTCGGAGTATGGTGACAAAAATCCTGATAGATTCTAGCACGAAGCGCGCAGTGGGCGTGGAATTTATCAAAAATAATCGGACTATACACGTAAATGCAAGCAAAGAAGTGATTCTGTGTGCGGGAGCCATCGGATCGCCGCAATTGTTGATGCTATCTGGTATCGGACCAGAGAAACACCTTACTGAGCTAGGGATCAAAGTCATCCAAAATGCGCCAGTCGGCGAGAACCTCATGGACCATCCGGTCTTTTTTGGATTGACGTGGACAATAAATGCATCGATAAGTTTAACATCATCAGAATTGTTCAATCCTATTAATCCGTATATGACGGAATTTGTAATAAATCGTACGGGACCCTGGACGAGTCCCGGATTTATCGAGACGCTCGCTTTTATCAATACAAAACATCCAGATAAACACAGCGGTCTACCAGACATCGAATTATTGTTTACTGGTATTCAACCAATAAATTGTATAATCCCAACATTGATAAATGTTAAAGATCCTCTCTCTCTATGGATTAAATATGGTGACTGTCATAGCTGGTTCACGCTGCCAATATTGTTGAAACCAAAAAGTCGTGGTAGGATAACTTTGTTGGCTAATGACGTCAACGTTAAACCAGAGATCGTACCAAACTATTTTGATGATCCAAACGACGTTAAAACGATGATCGCCGGTATTAGAACTGCGTTAAAAATTGGTCAAACAAAGACAATGCAGAAGTTCGACTCTCAGTTATTAAACATTACTCACACGGAATGCAAAAATGACGAGTATGATTCTGATGCTTATTGGGAATGCATGATAAGAATACAGTCTTCCACAATCTTTCACCCTTCCGGCACTTGTAAAATGGGACCACGTGGCGACCCAACTGCTGTCGTCGATCCCAGATTAAAGGTTTGCTTGAGAAAATGCATTAGAGTATTTATATATATTTATAATGAATATCATAAGCAGTATAACATGTGTTTATAAGTTTATATTCAACTTTTTGCAGGTGATTGGTATTTCAAGGTTACGTGTAGTAGATGCGTCCATCATGCCCGAAATTATATCGGCGCACCTAAGCATACCTGTTTATATGATTGCCGAGAAAGCAGCAGATATGATCAAAGAAGATTGGGGATACTTGGAGAAGTTACGATAGTAAAGTATATTTTATTAGCATTTTACTATTAGACAACAATATAAACGCATAAATTCCATGTATTATTTGGGATATATTTTTCGAAAAATTCTATTTAAGAAAAAGAAAAATTATTAAAAAAAGAAATTTTAATTGTTTGATAATATTAATAATTCTGATGTTACACGGTTTAAATTAATTATTTAATTAAAAGAAACTACAAAAAGTAAGAAATATAGAAATACAAATATTCATTTTGATTTTGGCGATTGCCAAAAATTTGTGATTAAAATATTATTTTGTCTTTTTAAAAACACGTTTTGTCATTTTTAAAACAAGGAAAAATATGTTTACATTAATAAATAATTATTTCGATTACTATACTCGCTTTTATCAATACAAAACATCCAAATAAATACAGCAATCTACCGGACATCGAATTATTGTTTAGTGGAATTGAATCAATAAATTTTAAAAAATTTTAACCCAATAATAAATTTTGAAGATTCTCTATCTCATTGTCAGTGAATCAAATATGGACAATATGGTGATTGCTATAGCTGGTCAGCCAGTATTATTGAAATCAATATGTAGTATTATAGTATAACATTATTAGCTAATGAAATTATTAAGTCAGAGAAACCGTACCAAATCATACCGAATTATTTTGATAATCCAAACGATGTGGGCTATGATCACCGTATTAGAACAGCATATTAAGAGTCAAACACAGGTGATGCAAGCATTCGATTTTCAATTGTTAAACGTAAATAAAAAATTAGCGCGATAGCTATAAGTATGACTCTGATGCTTATTGGACATGTTCGATTATTATCTTTCACACTCTATCATTACTTATGTATATGAAATGCAACTATGAATATGACTCTGATGCTTATCGAGAATGTATGATGTTATCTTTCACTTTATCACGTTTGCGGCACTTGTAAAATAGAATAGAAAATAGGAAAATTTAAACTATTTAATATATAATAATATATTAATAATATTTAATATATAATAACATATTAATTCTGATGTTGCACGTTTAAAATTTATTTTTATAATTAGATAACCGTACAAAAAAAAAGAATTATAATAATACAGGTAATTTTATGATATCTTTTTAAAAACACATTTTGTTATTTCCAGTTAAATGAAAGAAAAATACATTTTCATTGTCATATATATTATATTATATAAATGCATATATATGTGTGCATTTTGATTATTATACTAATTTTAATTTTTCTCTCTTAATATTTTCACATTCCTAATTATATATAATGTTTATCTTGATGAAACTGAACTATTGTCACCTATTCTCTATAAAATTAAATGTTAATGGACATTAAATAAAAAGTGAACGAAGCGCTTATGTATTTATTACATATGTTAGATTTAATTGGTTATATATAATCTTTTTTCTTTTATCATTACATTGCGTTACAAACGTTTAATAATATTAAACTGACAGAAACTTTAAACTGAATTTGTTGTGAACGCCAACGCACGTTTGTTATCAATCGAGTAAGAAAAATATATTGATGTTACGTGACACTCACTAAATTCACTTTAAAATCAATATTTTACTGTAACATTAAAAGATTATATTCAATAAAGTTACTTATCATATATGTATGCGACAATTTTACGAGCCTAACCTTGGGTCAAATTAATCAAACAGAACAGGTCACGTCAAAATAACGTTAAAAATCGTGACTGATAAAAAAAAAAAGATTTTTAAAGTAATCATTTCGGAGTTATTATTATGCTAGTATGATGTCATCGTGACTTTTTATTTTGCTTGGGTGTTGACATAATTGAATGAAAATGTAGATCAAAGGAATGCATCGAATAACATTCCACGAAATTTTGTTCGTGGAAAAACATGCAAGAAAACTCAGATTGTAAAAATTCCGCTGAAATTTCTGCCGTAGACTCAATATAATGTGGATTCTACTTTATCGTACATATACAGGGTGGAGCATCTAAAACAAAACATCGGAATACCTTGAAACTCAGCCCGGCAAGTAAAAATATTTTAGACTAAAGTTGTATGGAAAATTTTTGAAGGAAAACAAGTAATGGTAAAATCAATCAATTTTCGAAAAAACATTTTTGGTAACTGCGTAAGTTTTTCTGTTAGTCCGTTTTCGCGTTCGATTGTCGCACACATTATCTAACAATATCTGTCTCTTTCAAACGCAAAGAAATTGATGCTACTAGAGCTTCAAATATCTCAATTTAATATTATAATTATAAATGTTATTTGTGTTCTAGCAGTAACAAATTTTTGTAGATCAAGAAGCAAGTGTTATGATAATTTGATAATAACAAGAAAAAAAACTTTTAAAATAATGGCGGATTGCTTGAGTAAACAGATACTGTTAGAATAACATATGTTAGCGTTAATGCGCAATAATCAAACGCAAATACAGATTATAACAAGTATTACACAGATCTTTGAAGTTATATATAATATTTATGATAATAATTGAACTGTAAGTTCAATCAGTAAATAGTTACATTAAAGTATAAGAGTAGTATAAAAATAATAAATTATAACATACAATTTTATAAACATGTTGTATATGCGTTTATGAGTCCACTAGAAATGCGTTAGCAGAAACCAATCTATCGCACGTGTATGTAGCACATTACCTATTGGCACTTTAATGTTTCTTTATATCGTATACATAAAATGTTTCATAAATAAAATTGTAAATTTACAAATAAAGTTTCAAAGAGTTTACGCATATCTCTTTATAACAAAAAAGTGCAGAACGTATGACTATCGTATATAAAATAATTAATTTTGTTATCGTTATTACATATTTAATTATCACATGGTTACGTATTCTGCATATTTTGTAGTAATCTCTTTCTATTGTAAAAAAAATAGCAAACATGTAGCGTTACCAGGCGGATAGACGACTAGCGGATAGTTGTTAGCGTGATAAGGATAGTGCAAGATCTTTTCACTTATTTTTCAATTTGACCGAAATATGATTTCAGTTATACATAATTGGATTCGACAAAATACTTTTTTATTTAGTTAAAAACGTTTTTTTTTTATTAAAAAGAAAAAATAAGTGGTCAAAGTATGTTAAAATTATAACATTTTTAAAAAATCTAAAAACTTTATCATAAAGTACTTTTAAAATCATTCCATTTTTATATATCATTATGTATCGCGTTATAAACATTGAATATCATCATTAAAAAAAATTTTAAACTAAACTTTGATAACAAACGATGACGACTGAATTGACGTTTAATCGCACGTTTGTTATTAAACAAAACATTCAATAATTTAGTATCTTACGTGACACCTACAACAATCATTTAAAAGTCAGTACACATTTTGCAGTGGTCTTAAAAGGTAACATGCAATAAAGTCACGTTTTATTTGACAACATCACGAGCCTAACTTCTGATAGAGTTCCATTGACATAAACTCACAACTGAATCCAAATATGTATTAAAAGAAACGTATTGTACGATGACACAAAATTTTGTTCAAACTTTGTTGTGTGTACAATATAGAAATTTAAACACGCACTCGCGAGAAAACTTGGATCAGAAACATTTGGCTGAAAGTTCGGTTAGAGACTCAGTACAATGTTAATGCTTTATGCATACATATATATCCACACGCACAGCTAACTTTATATTTATCTAACAAATAAATCTTTATGCAAGTGGATATAATTAGTAATATAATAGTGATAATAATCAAAGATCAAGCACGTGGTATAATAGTGATAATAGTGGTCAAGCGCAGTGGTCAGTCTTATTTTTGTGTTCAACTGCTTCTTCAACAACTATTTGGATATGCTGAGTAAGGTGATGAGCCTCTTAATTCGTGTTCTTATTTTAAATGCCATAATCGGTTTATTACAATCTCAAGGACAATCCCGGTCAAATTGGTTCCGCAGACATTACAATAATACGAACAGACCGCAATTAATGAATATAATAGATCTGGGTATTGGAACATTGAAATTCTTGAAGCAAAATCAACGTTTTCGAAGTCAAGAAATACCGGATATGACACCGCAATACAGAGACACATTCGATTTCATAGTGATTGGTGCCGGCACGGCCGGCGCTACAATGGCCGCGAGGTTGAGTGAAATTCCTCATATCAAAATATTGCTGATCGAAGCCGGATCCCACGAGAATATGTTCCTGGATATACCTGTAACCGCTCCCCTTCTATCGTTGGACAATGATATCAATTGGAAGTACAAAACTAAGCCGTCCGACAAGTACTGTGTCGGTATGAAAGATAATAGTTGCATTTGGCCGGCGGGAAAAATAATCGGCGGTAGTAGTGTGCTAAATTACATGATAGCCAATAGAGGTGATGCCGAAAACTACGATCGTTGGGCCAAGATGGGGAGCGAAGGCTGGGCATACAAGGACGTTCTTAAGTATTTTAAAAAGTTGGAAACAATCGATATCCCGGAGCTAAAATCGGATATCGTTTATCATGGTACTGATGGACCAGTACATATCACTTCTCCGTCATATCAAACACCATTAGCAGAAGCCTTTCTAAAAGCTGGTAAGGAATTAGGATATCCAATAATAGTAGATTACAACGGGAAAAACGGAAGAGGATTTTCATATTCACAAACTACGATCATGAACGGCACTCGCATGAGTAGCAATAGAGCGTATCTGCATCCCGTACGCAATCGTGAAAATCTTTTTGTGACTCTTCAGAGCACAGTGACAAAAGTACTAATCGATCCTAGCACAAATCGTGCAGTCGGCGTCGAGTTTATCAAGAATAGTCGGACTATCCCTGTGTTTGCAAGTAAAGAGGTGATTCTGTGCGCAGGTGCAATCAAGTCGCCTCAGTTGTTAATGTTATCCGGCATTGGACCAGCAAAACACCTTACCGAACTCGGCATAAACGTCGTTCAAAATGCGCCAGTCGGCGAGAACCTCATGGACCATCTAGCTTTCCTTGGATTGACATGGGCAATAAACGCACCAATAGATATACAAACATATGAAATGATAAACCCCATTAATTCATATATGGCGGAATTTTTAATGAATCGAATCGGACCATTTACGATTCCGGGCACGGCTGAGGCTCTCGGTTTTGTCGACACAAAAAACCCAGACAAACATAATGATTTACCAGATATCGAATTACTGTTTCTTAGTATGACAATGAAAGATCTATTTTCACCGAAGGTACTCAATTTGAAAGATTCAATACATCAGGAATGGATCAAATACAGTGAAATCAATGGCTGGAACATTGTACCAATATTGTTGAAACCAAAAAGTCGTGGTAGATTAACGTTGTTAGCTAATGACGTTAATATTAAACCAGAAATCGTACCGAACTATTTCGACGATCCAGACGACGTCAAAACGATGATCGCCGGTATTAGAACAGCGTTAAGAATTGGTCAAACAAAGATGATGCAAGCGTTTGATTCTCAATTGTTAAACATGACTAGTATGGAATGCGACAATTATGAGTATAACTCTGATACTTATTGGGAATGCATGATAAGGATGATATCTTCCACGCTGTTTCATTATTCTGGAACTTGCAAAATGGGAGCGAGGGGAGATCCAACTGCTGTTGTCGATCCTAAATTAAAGGTATTTGTTGAAAAATTGGAGTATTCACGCGTAATATAATATGTAATATGACGTGTAAGTATTTATGACTTCATATACAATATTTTGCAGGTGATTGGTATTCAGAGATTACGAGTGGTAGACGCGTCCATTATGCCCGAAATTATATCGGCGCACACAAACATACCTGTTTATATGATCGCTGAAAAAGCTGCGGATATGATCAAGGAAGAATGGGGATACTTGAAGAAATTACATTAGATGCAATTACATTACTTTCTATTAATATTTTAATTTAGTATAAAAAACATACTGTAAATATCACACAAGGCGATATATAATACATGTATGTATGTATGTATGGTATATTGTGTCGATTTATGTGTTAGGCAACAACAAATCTGCGAAGGTTGCATATAAATAATATTACGATTTATTACTTCAATATAGATTTTACGTTTATTACAAATGTCACACATGTGTGAGCATTTTGCAAACAAAATAACTTGATCGAAGGAGAACCTCTTCGCAAGCTGTTACAGAGCAAGCTAGCATGTACACAGTGCACGTGATGCGAGTTGGCATGGCTGAAGCTTTCACACGCCCGAAGTAACCATATCATGACAACTTGTCGACAGTGATACAACTCTGCTACTGCTCGGATAGGCAACAAAAAGACAAATGATAAAACTGTGAAAAAGCACCTTTGCAAATTCGATCCTATATTCTAAAAGGATCAAAATATAAATTTTGTTGATTACTGACTACTTTTATAGATAACTATAATTATTTTTTATCTTATCAATACTAAAGAGAAAATTAAGAAACAGAATCAAATTTAAACGATTGTGTTTCTCTATGGGTTTTGCACTAAATCGAAATGTTTTAGCGAATGCAAAATCAATGAAGATTAGCGGCGTTATTATATGTACACGTGCAGACTCGATGGCTAAGATTGAATTAAATTCGGCCGTTTGCAGCCACGATTTTTAGCAAACTGTTCGACAACCGGTCGACGCGTGCGTGCGCGTCGACTCGCGCGCGCTCGTGCACACGCGGGACACGCACGCACACGCGCGCGCCGTAGCGCTCATCTATTTTCAGAATGTAGGCCAATTAATCCCGCCGCATTTTCGGCACAGAGGAAAAACGAAAACATTACAAGTGTCCCACGGAAATAGCCGCGGGGATAAATGTCCAAGTACCGGTCGGCTCTCCGCTCTCCGCTCACCGCTCTTCCCTCTCTTTCTCTCTCCTTCGCTCTCTCGCTCCTTCTTCTTCGCTAGCGCGAGGGTAGTGTCGCATAAACGCAATAATTTAATATGGAACATATGTAAAGCTCCGCTGGTTACTTCGACGCACTGCCACCCTGAAAGACGCCTGCGTGCGTGATATGTGGACGTTTGTACAGGAAATTCTACTTATATGCGTATAATATTCTAATTATACATCCTTAATTAAATTTGGAGATTTTTAGATTTCTGGATTTTTCTCTCACAAAACGTCTGCCTAGCTGGCCCTCCCACTTAACCGAAATTTAACGAATAAATTAAACGAGTAAATCTCGCAAACATTCTACGTTCATTGATATGTCGATCTCTAATGCAATATTTTTTAATTTATATAAATTATTTAATTATTTAATTAAGTGCGCGAAATCATTTAATGAGAGTTATCAACTAACTCCGAAGTGAAATATCTTCGCTCTATTTTACATTAAGTGTATAAGCAAAATGCACCAAGAGTGCTCTTGATCTCAATGACGATGGTTCTAATGGCATTTATACAAGCAATATTCAGCGTTTACGAGCGGATTAACCGACACGCGTAGTAAATGAAAGTGTCTTTCGAAGAGGAGTGTTGAGAAACACGCTGTTACGTGACGAGAAATAAATTTATTAACATTTAATGGTACGTATGAATGACAGGTATCGCTATCATGACATTTTACGATTCAGATTAGGATAGAGTAAGGTAAATTAAATTGATAGCAATTTTCATGTTAAACGATTACAACTCGGAATTGAGTTAAACGCGCACGACGTGAATTTCGTACTAAAGTTCGAATATTAATCGATTCGTACATATACAATAAGTGCAAATCAAATTAAAAGTAGGTTTTATAATTTGTTATGCATAGTTAAATAAGCCTATCGAACAACTGCATTCGAAATGGAATTTTATATAAAACTGTATAAACTAACGTACGTCGAAGCAAAAAATGAGCACATGTCAGAAACAATAGTTTGTTCACAGATCTTGGAACTTGACAGATAATCATAAATTCTGATAGAAACTATTTATATATTTTATCTTGTATATTTTATAAGTATATATGTAATTTTATGCAAATGTAATCCATACACTTCCCCGTTTGTACTATAATAACGTTTTGTTAGGGTCTAATTGTGTTCCAAGTTCCCATTCAGCAATTCTCTATGTTTCTCTCATGCATGCTTTTCTGGTTTTGGATAATGCAATAATTCCTCGAAATAAATGCCGTCTCGCCGAGTGAACGTAAGAGAGACAATGGCTGTAGAGACGGCTCGCGTATATATTTCATTTATCACGCGGGAATTGACAACGGCGCACGTCTTTTCGACGCGATCGACAGCGGCACGATCCTTTTTTCCCCTTCTTTTAACTTTTTATGCGAGAGCATTTACGGGCTGACGAAGTGTCAGAGGGAACCTCGGATGGGAAGTCAATTACGAAGATCGAGGCCGTATTGTGGTGGCATCAAGGCAGCCTCTCTTGGCGTGCGAGCGATCGAAATTGCACAGGCGGTCGACCGGAAAATAGGGCCGCGCCCTCCAACGCGCGCGCGATCTCCTGCCTCCCGAATAATTTATCCCAAAACGCATCGCGTCTTCGTGGCATTGTCGAGGGGCGAGAGAGGAACGCCCGAAAAAGCGAACGGACGGGACGAATGGTACGTTCATGTGCACCACGCGAGAATTTGGTCTGCCGAGAGGATCGATCGTCGGAAAGCGACCTGACCGCAAGCTATTGACAGGAGGATTAATCTCAGCTCCGTATTGCGGATCGCATGATTGATAAACGTTTGAAAATAGGCAGCAGCACGCAAACGACGGCTAAATATCCACGAGTCGAAATATCCACAGGCGTCTTTTCAACTCTATTAAATTCCTTAATCGACCGAACGTCATAAAAACGCTCGAAACCGCAACTGAATTTGCTTTTCAAGAAAGTCTCGTGTGATGCAAAAAGTATAAAATATACACATCTAATACGTGCAACAAAAGAACATCAACTACAATGCTACGTTATGTAACATATATATTTACATATATAATATATTTAAATAGAAAAATCATGAAATCATGAATCATATAAGAGATACAGTTAAATATCGATTTACTTTCATCACAAAAATAATTTTTTCCTCCTCTATCTCAGTGAGACTATGATAAACTGATTGCACATACGTTTGACATCGGAGCCTCTGAAGATTTATCATTCTCCTGGGGAACATCAGGAAGTTAAGAGAGCGAATATTCGATACACACAACGTCAAAGTGTGAGTTTGTATGTATAATGTAAAAAAGCTAACCAAACAGCTGGATATAACGGCATACTGGATTTATTGCTTTTATTGTCACCGCGCGCTGAATATCAAGTACCTGCCCAGAATCCATTGTTCAAGTGATCTCGTTGAACCTTCAAATGCCTTTATGTTCCGGTCATCTAAAAAAGCTCCTCTTATAATCATTATTTTTTTCAAAAAAAAAAAAAAAAAGATAAAAAAGAAACACAAATATGTACTGACAGTATTGATATCTTTTACGTTAAATAAACGCGATAAAAATGGAAATGGCCAATCTGTCATAAAGTATCTTCGTAAATAAAGATTCGCAATACCGGCTTGATGGAGGTTATTGCCTTCGTAGTGTATCAAGGCTTATTCACGGTATACGTTTTACTACCGACATGGAAAGGGCGGGCAGGCACGAGATGCGACAAAGCATTTTTTTTTTAACCCTTTCGCTTTCAGAGCGTTGTGCAAACTTTTAATAGAGTTTAAAGCACACGGGTGGAGTCAAGTTTTTAAATTTCAAAGCCGAGATAAAGTTTTTAGAAACCGGACAATATAGAAGCCTTTTAACTTACGTAGATAATCGAGAAGCAAGTGAATTACCGTGACATGGAATTTAAAGATGTAAAGAACATTATTTAAGTTAAACGCGAATAATTTTGTACCTATGCAATATGAAGAAATTAAATTAATGAGAAAAAACACTGAAGATCTCATAATTATATACCAAATAATTTTTATTTGCCATCAGCGTAAACCGAATTAAATTTCATTCTACGTTAACAAATATTAAATAAATCATATAAAGAAAGTTAAAGTATGAAATACAACAGAATTTTTTATCGCGCCGTTAACTAGAGTTAAAATATTTCGATTCGATTAAAATAATTTAATATGAAATAATTTTCTCAACTTTTCTTATGCCAGAGAAATAAGAGAAATTATTACTATTTCATTAAAGCAAAATTGTCCCGTCAGGTGTAAAAAGAAAATTCAAGGATTTTAATTAGGTACTTTCCAGCCAAAGAAGTACCGCAGTCTTTTTCATAGTCTCTTATTCCATTTTATTCAACTCGTTTCTACATTCGTTGTCAGCGGAATGACACTCTGTCCGATTATCCGGATTCTGCGCGCCAGCTCACCCTGCTCTTTTAGCACAGCTCGCGAGCGCGTCGGATAATCTCGTCAGTTTCCACGTACAACCGAAGATTTTCGTAGGCGCGATATATCGTCTTTACGCGCGCGAGCGTGCGAGCGCGCGGCCGTGGGGAGAAATGTTGCACCCGCGGAGGCGCGCAACACGGGTGGGCTATCTATAGCGGCGAGTGTAACCGAACGGAGACTCGGGTGTCACTCAAGGATGACAAAACTCATTAATACCGATCTGCTTAATGCCCCGTCTCGTGTCCGACATTAATCTGCTTAAAAATACCTGCCGGGGTGCGCGCGAGTGACCCGCCATTTTAGATCATCCGTGTCGGTTTACTTTGTAAGAACGCGCGTCGGTATACCTCTCCGCTCCCGTCGGAGATCGCGGAACACGCGCCGATCCTAACGTTTAATACTCGCGCAGGCTGTCGCCTTCGCTCTGGAAATGCTGCTCGGCCGAGCAACTACGATGAAGCAGCAGTTTGAAAAGGAAACGGAAACGACGAAAGTTTCGATCGTGGTCGAGTCTTATCGCGTCTGTTTTGAGAGCCGTTAAACTATTTTAGATGAGTTCGCACGACCAATCGTGACTGAGGCGATATGAGATATTATTTTTGTATCTGACCTATAGTCGCCGGCAACATCATCGATATATTACTGCACGGTAAGCATGCACTTAAGGTTTCTATACATACAGAGTAGGAAGAAATTAGTCCTAGACCCTTAACACGGACACATATTTTTTTGTAAAGCAACTTGTAACTTTCTTTACATCGATTGATACACCTTATTATTCTGTGCATAAAAATATTAAGATTATCGAAAATTGAATATTTTACAAGATATTTTGTACTTTATGTTAAAATACTGTAATATTCATGTTTCATAATTCGAAAAGTCCTGGTCGAAAAAAATACTTAATTATATAGTTTTGGAAAGCTCTCAAAATAAGTTACAAGAAAAAAATACAATAAAAATGGAGGTTTTCAGTAAAAAATTTCAAAATAATCTTGATAACGCTATTCAAGGTCACGCTAACTTTGCTATGTGATGCATCTCATAAAACCGTACTTTGTATAAAACATTTTTTAAAAATCAGAAATGCCATGTTATCGAGATATTTCAGGGATTCAGAATTTTTTCCCACCCTATACCTAAAATTATAAATTTTAGCGTTGTTTATTTTGCTAATAATTACAATTATTACTTTCGAGATTGTTCAATCAATAATTATGAAAAATCTATTTGTGATGCAATATGCATTTCTTAAATTAATACATCATAAAGTTTCGATTTCTTAAATTTAATTTAGCTCTACATAATCTTACTGTGTTTCCATTAAATATTTGTCCAATTAAAAGTAATTGCGACTTTGTCATATAGAATCTGTTAAAAGTACATTATCCTGAAACATCTATACATAGACGTATCTAAAAACTGTACTCTTGCCCATCTATTTTTATGAAAATACCGTCTATTTTTGCATGACAAGCACGCGAGACAATGAACGACAACGAATTTGTTCTTATGTGCTCTTGAATCGTGAAGCCGCGTAACGACTTGCGTACTAATGCTGCCTTATGCGATGCAGATGTTGATGATTTTTTTGCGTGACAGAACGAGTCATGAGCGACGAGAATTTTGCGAGAGACTGCGAGCACACGGTGCACTAATCATTTCGCCGTCTTTTTCTGCGAAAGTATACGTGCCACAGAGAGATGCCATACGATCTTCCTTCTAACGACCTTTCTATGTCACGTGCACTCCGTAATAATAAAGAACGTAATTCAGCATCCGCATCAGACACAGGCATAATTTAAGGATCAGATAGTCGGAAATTAAAAGACGGACGTACGCAAATTAAGTCCTTCTTTTAGTTAAGCTTCTTCAATAATATTATATAAGTAATGTTAATGACTAAAATTTTCTTTTTAATTGCAATGTTAATTATCAGAGAAACTTCTGGTAAAGAAATGTTATATTGTCATTCGATAAAGAATAAAAAAATATAAATTCTTCTGCTATAAAGTACATGACAAATTATGAGATAAAGATAAATTTAAAAGGTTTTTTTTTAATTTTAAGATAAAGATAAATTTGAAATGTATATTTTTTCCTACGTTGAACCTCACATGAAACAACCTAGATTAATGCAATATTTAATTTTTTATTAAAATTATATTTGTTGCAATATCCAAAGTTGAACTGATAGATATTTACTGTCGTAAATATTTTCACCACTGTCACTGTTTATAGCGCTATTAAAGCAACAGTTAAAATTATCGTCGCTGGTACCATTCGGTACCATTTCTTTGTTATGCAATTTTCACACATACACACACAGTTCTAGTTAGGGTCGCTGGAAGATGTGCAACGGGACAAGGGGAGGACGGGCGGGTGTCTCGACGTTAAGTACTTTCCCCCGAGAGCCTAAATTTGTAAGCAACCGTACGCAGGGTAGAACGCAAGTAATACCACTCACCGTTAATTGGTTGAAACCTTGCCAAAGGATCCGAGAATTGCCGAAGTCTGTCCGTCACGTACTGCGGCGACTCTCCATTCTGTAAATAAGAGAACGAATGTAGAACCGCACTCTCTTCTCCCTCTCAATGTAGCTGTTTCCGTGCACGCTACGTTTCATCTCGCGACGCAAATGAAACAGGGCACGTCGCGAGCATATCATTCGCGATGGTGGCCGAGCGAGCCGTGCTCAGGAATAATGGATTCTCAATAGGGGAAGGGGGATTAGGGAGAGACGACGGGAAGATTCGAATTAAATTGACTAACTCTATATCGCGCGAATGCCTTCCGATGGGAAACCATCGATCGCGCTACATCGCTTGATTCTACCGGTAAGTAATAATAAGTCCTGGTTTTAATTAAAGACTTTCTTCCGTTCCTTTCGTCGCCCCTTCTTCAAAGTCTAGGTAGATATATATTATCCTGTTCCTTTATAGTTTCATAAGATCTTTATGATTTCGGAACAGTCCAATGTGAAAATAATAATGGAATAGATCAATGCTTGCATGACATCGATGTAAAATAAAATTACAACTCACATAATTTATATCACATTCTGAGAAAAAAATCTAATCGTACATATCAAGATGTAGCTTGTGGAATCCCGAGATAAAGCAAAAATATATTTTAATTTTCGAAACAATTTCAGAATAATTTGGATTAATTTCGATTTCACTATTTTGTGTGCAAAAAAATTAAAAGAAATTCCCCGTCTTTTCTTTATTAGATTTTTGTTCGAGTAACAATAAAATTTTCTCTCTCTCTTTGCCTCACTTTTGACGGTGATTCTACAGTTTAACGCGATCCGAATTTGAAGCAACTAAAAGAATACGCGTTCACTGTAAGCATTCTTTGTAAAGCAATATAGAACAAAGTACGCCAACGGCACAATAACGATAGTTCTATTTTATCTCGTTTAAAATTGTAGCATTGTTGATTTAACACATGTTAATTATAATTTGAGGAAATATGACCTAATTAGTTAATATCATAAATTAGTCATTATTATTATTCATCCATGAGATCACTGATTGAGTTGCTTTTTCCGTCCTACTTTTGTCTTGTATCTATTTTAGTTTATTATTTATACAAAATTTTATTTTTATAGATTTATAAATTATTTTTATATGACGTTGTTACATGACGGAAATAAAAACGGCTTTAAAGACTATAAAAGATTTTAAAATGGGATAAGAAAAGGGAAGATAGCATAGCCCTCCCAACATTTTTTCACTAAAAAGAATCGAGTCGAAAATTTACTGCAGCACACTTTCAAATCGTAAACACATTGTCAAATATATACACATGTATCTTCACCATTAGTTGAGAATATTAATTGACGTGGATACGCGCGTTCGATAAACATAGAACAGTTAAAACGGAAAAATAAAGCTGAAAAATACAAAGTTCAAGAGTGAGATATATATAGGCCTATACATTTCGAAGACACATGGAGATCGTGATATCGACTAATAACTTTGCAATTTTATTTCAAACTATTAAAACTGTTCGAGCGAGGTGTGATATCTCCTAATCATCCGAGACTTTGTGAGATGTGAGACTTAACGAGTTAATCTCCGCTAAGTTACAGCGAATACGAATTCCGGTTGTATTCGAGTGAACCATTAACCCGTGCTTCAGTTTATCCTACGGTGGAGGATCATCCCTGCAGATATTCGCGAGCGGAGCGTGACGACGATAGGCGGGAAGCGGCGATGGGTGGAATCGCTGGAATTATCGTTACCCAATTTGCTTCTCCGACGCCGCGTAGCCCGTACTCGAAGTTCGCGAAATTGGGTCACCGCTCTGGCGCACCGGTGGGCAGAAAGCGCATCGACGGATGCGCAAATTGAAAATCGAATGCATCGCACATTTGTTCACCGTCCGCCGTTGTTTCAATCGACAGTGAGAAATACATATAAAACGACATCATTTTCACCGGGTTTAATTACTTACGCATCTTGAGCATGAATTCTACATAACGGCTAATATTTGCCTTCATCATTACTTCCGCTGAATAAATACAGATTTTTATGAAAATATTATATATTGTAGAAAGGATATGATCCGTTTGAAAATACTTGCTACGTAATTATGCTTTAATATATGATCTAAAATATAAATCGTTTTACACGTATTATTATTTTTTTAAGACATTTAATAACATTTATAAAAAAAAATTCAAGAAAGAAAATCAGAAAGCTATGATGACTACATTTTAAAAATTGGAATCGCCAATAAGATACATATATAAAAGCTTATCAACATCGTTGATATTCCGGCTTCGCCTCAAGAGCATAAAGCGTAATGCAGCTTCTCTAAATAATGAGAATGCACTGTGACAAGCCGACTGAAGCTGTCTCTAGCCTTGTCGTCCAAGTACTTGAGTTACCAACGTATATGCCAAGAGAGCCATATGCAGGATGATTCATGGCGATGCGGCATAAATTTAGGATTTGTGCTCCGGCATAATTTCATCAGGAAATTTATCTAAACGCGGATGCTATCTCGGGGATTACAGATCCACGGTTTACCCTGCGAAAAAAAAAGAAGGATTACGCGAACGCGATATGCGAGAGATGAGAGATAGGAATGCCCGCGGAAGTATCTAAGCACCGATTGACGGGGCATTCCACTGAGGATTGCGCTTCGAAGAATATTTCTCGGCGAATTCGCCACACGCTCGTGTAGAAATTACAGACCGCGCATTTTGCCATTTCACGCAAACGTTAATACCTCGCATCGCATTCAATTAATCCGGCCGCGTTCGAGAGCCCTTTCGAACAGCTTCCGTGATGCGCATTACATAGCGTCGTAATACAAACCCATGTAATCACGCCGCGTAATCATGACATAATTGCGGTAACGCGTGCGACTGTGAGCTAGCGGAGCGCGAATTCGGCTCTAATTAGACGATAAAATCACGTAGCGTGAGGCAATATTGCCGAAGACAACGGGGGGAGGGGGAAGAGAAGAAAGGAAAGCAAAGAAGAAATTTGTACTTTCGTAATAGAACATGGTAAGCCAAGGAAACAATCTTTTTCCTCTTCAAGAAGAACCTACAAGACGAATAAATTAGACTTACACGCGTAAGAGTGGACAACTTCAATATAAAACTTGATAACTAAACATTTATACTCATATACTTTTGTGCGCAATCTCCCCTTAGATATACGTCTGTCTTCTGGGATTCGGAGGATCACGTCCCTCATATCGTCTTTAATGAATATTTATACAGCGGCACACGGTGCGGAACAATTTTTCGTCGGCGGACTTGTGCCGGCGGTCGTCGTAAACCCCGAAGGATACGTCGGCTCGCGTCCCGATTTAGGACCGAGAGCAGAGCTTTACCGAAAACAAAATGCTCCCGGAACGTTACTTCACCAATCGTAGATTCTGGCAGCGTCTCATCGCGCGCGCGGGACATATTGGATACGCTAATGTACCCGCCGGCAGCAGGCGCGATAATGCACCCGCGGTTCGCGACGACTGAATAAATTCCGAATAATTGCGCGCGGCCGGGAATACGGGAGGCGCGCTTAAATGCGAGATATTCTCGCCCGCGAGCGCGAGCCCTGGATCGCTTTGCGCTTACCGGAAATCTCCGGTGACGTATGCGAGCGAGAAGGATCGCCGACGGATGCCTCGCGGATGCTCGGCGAGGGCGACTTTGACGCCGCGCGAAGCATCCGCTTGTCTCCATTCGTCGTACGATGCATAATCGTAAACTCGGCGCTGGCAATTTATTGATTCCGCGCGATGACGACAAATAACACTTACAAACTTCTAACGCTCGCAGTTTTGTCTCAGAAATCACTCGACTGTATAATAAACAATTCTCTTTATATTGTATTTTTCTCTATAAATTATATAAGGTGAATATATATTATCTAAATTTTGTTTCTTTCAACTTTTTATTATTTTCAAATTATGATCAAATATTGTCGTGTAAAGATAACGAGAAATTTACATAACAATATGTCAAATTGAGATTGCAATTTTCGCGACAGATAACAGAAGAAGTTTCAGCATTTCTTTTTTTATTGATTATCCCCTGGTAATCCCTGGCGTGTCGCCAAGTGACCCGCCGTCGTGTCATATTTAATCTTTAATTTGTTACGAAATAATTCAATGCGTTTCTCAAAGAGGAGTCTAGACAGCAAAGCAGTAATTATTGCCATTCGATCTATATATACATGTATATATATAAATGTAACGCTTCGGTAAATATTACCAAGCAATATTCCAGATAAATATACGTACGGCCTTCGTGCGTGTGCACCTTCGTCCCGTGAACTCACCGAAAACGTCAAAAAAATAAATTATAGATTTTTCATAAACCGTATACGAAAAGAGCGATTTTGTTAAAAGATCTAAAAATTTTGTTAAATACAGATCTGAAAATTAATTCTTGTTGAATCATCAAAAAATTTTTATTGGAATGTTAAAAATGATAAGCATTGCTATAAAACGTTTTGGTATTCTAGCAATTATTTTGACTTTCCAACAAAATTATTTTGATTATTGAACAAAAATTATTTTCAGATCTGGATTCAGCAATGATGCGTACTTTCATAACAGTTAGTTTCTAGACGTTAAAATCTTTTCTTATGTAGAACTTTGGCCTGATTACAGTTGAAGTTAGTAATAAATTATACAGATCTAAATTGTTACTGTCACAAAGTGTACCGAGCTCCGGCAACACCCACGTCATCTTGGCCATTGTTTCACATTGTAACGTCAGAAACGTCAGAAGATGATGTTAAAGTTATTTGCAATTTACAGATAAATGGGCGATTCTTGTGCCAATGAAATTATCATAGAGCGACGAAGGATTGAGAGATTATATGTGTACCAACATCGCTTCCGGCAATGTTTTTCTCGGATTTATAAACAATCTAAGATAGAGATATAGGGAATTCAATTGACGTAAAAAAAAAAAAACAGTGTAAGGATGATGAAAATGTAATAAAGAAAACTCGAGTAACCAGGAATGAGGATTGAATGGGCAGAGGGCAACGAAGCGAAGTCAGAAATCAAAGCTTAACAAGGAAGCAGTCGTTCCGATCGACATTGAAAGCTCGTTTTCCCCGTCAGTGGCTACCATCGGAGCATGGTCGGCGAATGCGCATCGGATGCATTCTGGCGGGTGGGGTGCGAGGGTGCGGAATGAAGAGTCCGTGATCAGGAATCGCTTCTGCACGAGGAGAAAGAGAGAGAGAGAGAGAGAGAGAGAGAGTTGATTGCGCGCTCTCTTTTCTCCTCTTCTTTACATTCTCTCTCTCTCTCTCTCTCTCTCTCTCTCTCTCTCTCTCTTCTTTTTCGCGCTCACGTATCGATTAACATGAGGCGCGTTGGAATGCCAATCGCCCATCTGGCTTGTTTGAATTCGTTCTTTTCTTCTTCTTTCTCTCGTTTACTCCCGCGCTTTTACGGGCGGCAACACGCACCCCGCTAAATACACCCCGCACGCATTTTATTCGGCCCCCGTATCATCTGTTTGTCCTCGGCGCATCTATATGCGGCGTCGCGGCGGACTATTCTCGGAGTGAAAGCGACTCCTCTCGCACCGTTCACCGTCGCCGCGGTGTTTCGAGAAACGCTTCGAGACATCCACGTTCTCCCGGCAATGATATACGTCCATCCTAACGTAAAAATCGGGGTCCAGTAAAATGGTATCCGGTCGTAATCAAAGCGATTGAAGACGACAAAATTTGTCAGTTTACAGTAGCAAATATAATATGCGAACACGTGCGAAAAAGACTCTCTCTCTCTCTCTTTCTCCCCGCTCTTTCTTATTTTCTCTTTCCCTTCCTTTTTTCTATTTTTCTGTATTATTTCGTTTCTTTATTCAAATTGATTCTTTGATTCTAATAGATGTTAAAACGGATGTAAAAAAGTTATAGGTAAACAAAATAATAGGATAAAATATGATAATTTTCTTAAGTCTTATTTCTTTCATAATCTCCTTAAGATTTTGTACTCAAAGTATTCTCTTTCACTAAGCTTCTTATGTAAACAGGCGTCCCAAGTGTAAATTTGCGGGAAAATTTCTACTGCAAATCTGGATCGGCGAATTTGACCGATTAAAGCTATACAGAACCAGAGTACGTGTGATTTATGATTCACAACTCGCTATTCGCGGGACATTAGTGAATAGTGTTATTGTGCAAATTCATCGAGTTCGCTCACTTATTATTTTATTATATTTTATAATTCGTGTCAATTCACCAGTGACGCGGTTTTTCGACAAAATCAAAGAGCGCGAACTATAGTCAATTTATGCTGGTTCATGCATAAAACTACACTGTACAAATGATGAACCACTAATCACAAATAATGTGAAGATTTTACACTGGTGCAATGCAATGAATTTCTGCGAATCTACTATGAATTGCAAATTACAAATCATCAATCGCACATAATTAGCTTTACGTGACGTGCATGTATTGTCATTTCCGGGGAATTTAACGCGACATCAGTGCCCGATCATACTCACGCGTGTACATCGAGGCGCCAACACGGCCTCGATATCTCCCGAGTATTAATATCGGACGAATAATCCCTCGGCGGCGGTTCGCGTCGTGCTTTAGGGTCAAACAAGCCCGCCGCCGTAATACCGACGGCGAGCGAGGGGGTCGGCGAGCAAGGGGGTCGACGAAAGCGCGAGACAAATTGAGCCCGGGGCTTTGTAAGACGCGGCCTAGGCCGTGGAACTCTGAGCTCGCCCGTCGTGTCGCGCACAGAGACAAGAGGCTGCCCGGGGCGAAAGGGTCGAGGGGCCCCCCGCGCTTCCGGTGCGTCGTAAGAGTACCGCGCGAACGGAGGGAAAAGGGATTCCTGAGCGAGCGCAGGAATTTCGCGGCGATCCCGTCGCCACGACGCGCCGCGCCGTCGCGTCCACGGACGGAGATTCTCTCCTTCCGTTGCCTTCGGGGCGAAGGGGGCGGGAGGGGGATTACACAATGAAATATATTTCTCCGCTCTTTCGCGCGCGAACACGTCGGCGCACCCTCGCTAAATATAAGCTCGCCGCCTTGCACCGGCAAAGTCCCACAAATCACAATACCACACCAAAAAACAAACAAAAAAAAACAGCGCGGAGAGGAGACGAGATCTCCCGCGTCGAATCCATTAGGTCAACTATTTCCTTTACCGCCCCTACACCTCTGCTAGTATCTTCTCACCTAGCTGGAGGAGAGAAAGAAAGAAAAAGAGAGATAAACGATCGCGCGCGCGCGGGATCACTCGATAATGCCACTTAAAGAGCATTTTAAGCGCAAGATGGATAAGCACGCCTATTGCCTGTCTCGAGGAATATAAACTCGCCAGAGTTCAATTGGATTCCGCTCTCGTTGCAGATCGCACGGATCGGCTATTTCTCTCCCTTGACTGCAAGGCCAGTAATTTATACGATACTTTGAACCAAAGGGCCCGATCTCGTTTAAACTCTTCCGCTTTTCAATCCAAAGTGGAGTACAACGTGGAACAACAGTAATTTATATTGAAAAACAAAAACACATAAGGCCTTTTCAAACGAATTAAGAAAATTTCTGCAAAAGCTGAAGAATTTTCATTTTAAGTTCATCCAAATCCATCGTGTTTGTCAATCAAATTCATCCGCGCGAGTTTTCAAATCATATGAATTCGTTACACATTAATCGTAATTCATCATAACCGAATATTTTCTACGATTTCTTTATCTCTTTATGATAAATATTTAGGGAAATAATAAAATCCGTGACTGTGAATATATATAAAGCACACCGATAGATTGTAGCAGTGGATAAAGCTTGATCGATCGGATAACGCGTCGAGCAACGAGAGTTCGATGAAAGAGAAATACAATTACATTCCAATTAACGTCTGAAATCGGAATGGCTCCGAGACATCCATCCGCGATATATATATCACTGACTGCCGCTCGATGTGGAACTTAACGAACCCAGCAAAATGGAAACTTTTATTCGCATATTTATCAATGGGATATATCCGTTAACTTTATGTGTAAACTCAGCAAATTATGAAAACATAATATCACATGTTTGCGAAATTCTCTTTTACATAATATAACAGATAATAATAAATAATTTAAGTTGCTTTGACGGATATTCAACTAACGGATATTAATTGCCGTATTCAGAGTTTATAAAATTTGTTATTTTCAGAATTTAGAAAATTTGCAATATGTATATTATTTTAGACTTTTATATGTATAAAATTCTTATAATATTACATGTTTGCAATTACATGTAGATACATGATATAGTATTATATAAAAATTTATTTATAGATATGACTTTTTAAAAGGACTCTAATACATTTAATCCACTTTTGTTAAAAAAAAGACATTAAAAATTTTTTTACACGAATTGCACTTGCATCGACATGTTTTCATTACGGTAATTATCATTAACGGACAGCGCGTTCTTTTGAGAGCGAGAAACTCGGGCATAACCCTTTTTACGCACACACTGGAAAAAAACGATGATACGAGCTTAATGGTGTCGCGGGTCAAAAACCATTAGAGCCGGTGGATCGTGTGCGATGCACGTGTCGGACATGTGTGTGACGATGTAGCTATGTAGACTGCAACGCTTAAATGCATCTTGTTACAGAAGTACAACCTATCATTCTTTTATGAGGATCTTACTCTTTTTCAAATAAAAACGCCAGGTTAATTGTGAGACAAATGTAACATATAGTCCTAATTTATCTTATGAAAAAAAATATATATATATACTTTTTAAAATTCCTTAATTATTTTATAAATTGTTTAACGAATTATCTCTTAACAATATTGTAAAAATCATTAACTATATTAAATTGCAATACTGCAATTTAGCAGCACACGACATCTCATCATAAGAATTTCAAAATTAAATTAATAATTGTAAAATACCTAAAAACTCACACACATAATTAAAATCTCCAAAACTAAATCAGAACATTTAATATTAAAAATTTTGTTACGAATTATCACGGTTATTGTCAAAAATTAGCTTAAATTAAATTTTAATAAATATTTATGTGTATTAATATTTAACATCAACGTGGATATGATATTTAAATTCGGGACACGGAATTCTTCACGGATTGTGGGACTAATTTCGTTGCATGCCGATCTTATTAATTGAGCTATCATACACGTAATACATACTATGTTCTCAGCGGAAGGGTGATCCTGATGTCCGGAAGGTCTATTTCCTTGCAGCAGCGCCTCGAGACTCTCGATATACTCGATAGCGTTCCGCAATATCTCCACTTTCGGTAAACGTTGGTTGGGGTTGTTGCTCGTTCTCCTCTTGAGTACCTCAAAGGCCTCGTTGACCTGTAATAGAAATTGCATAATTGACCACACGTGTCGCAGATTGCGTGAATAATACACACAGCAATACAGCGCGCGTTGAAAGGAGGGAGGGCAGTTAAATAAGGGTGGAAAGCAGAAAAAATTAGACATTTATAGTATAATAAAATAAATTTAAAATTCAAATGCCCGATAACTATGCAAATTCTGGCGCAAGCGACATTTGTTGAGTGCTCTAATAATTTCGATAGCGCAGGCTTGTTCCACGAGACGTATTATTGAAAGATCATTTACATAGTATCTTAAGATAGATTAAAACATGTTTGAAATCGACGATAAGTGAAAACCGTTTAAACAGACTTAATCAGTATTTATTAAGAAATTAATTTTGAAAAAAAAAATAAAGAATTGGAGATGAAAGTTATAAAAAGACTCTAAAAATCCAAGATGGTTAGTATTATAAATTCAAGTTTTTCCAGTTTGAAGTTTACAATTTTAAGAGAAAAATGAAGTCAATTAATAATTAGTTACAATAAATATGGTTTTACGATTTACCTGTCAGTAATTAATTAAAAATAATTATATAAAACAATTAAAATAAATCGAATAGTCCATATCATTTGATTACCTTCCCGTGCCCTTAGGAATTAAAAGTCTCAACTTTAATTTGCCCCCTCTCCTCGCTCAACAAAATCTTACAATTAGCTATGCTCATGTATATCACGTTTAGGCGTCAGCAGAATTTCTTAAAAATTGCCGGATACACTAAATTCATATCCGTCAAAGTACATGTTATTGTTACGTATGAAAAGTTCGTCATAGATGTTACGTTTTTACTTCGCTTAAATCTTTCTCATATTGCATATGCAGACAGGCGAGCGTCGGATTTCAAACGACTCTCAGCGAGATTTAACACTTAGGCCCATCCTCGAAACACTATTCGTCATTCGAATCATCCAAAGCGGCGCTTAGTCGACGATCACTTCGCGCACGCAGATGTTTTCCTTCCGTCAGCGCGTTCTCTTTGAGGCTGTTTACTTCGAAAACACGATTCGTGCACGATGTGCTTTAAGTAATTATAAGCAGGCTGACCAAAACAGCAACGTGTATGTTCAGTAAACGAGAAATGTGATTTAGATGCACGTTATGATAAATTTTTCCATCATTTTGAACACATTCACGATCTCGAGACAATTAACCAAACTTACGAAATCATTCACAAAAATTTCTTTAAATTATTGCAGACTAAATCGCGAATGTATTGAAGTGTGATTTAGTTTTGAATATTTTTTTCTCAAAAACTGATTTATTATACGAACACCATAATGAAAATTTATTTTCTAAAACATTTTCTGGCAAGAGATGGATTCCGCGACGATAAAAAGGTTTTTTGAATTTGATCTAATTTTCTCAAATTTTCGCACTTCTCCGAAAGTATGAAAGTGTGTATCCTCTAGAGTCTAGAGCATGTTGCATCGATCAAAACGAGTGATAATCAGAGCAATGTCTGGAGAATACGCAGAGTGCGGTAAGACTTCCCATTTCAGCTCTAATAGCATTCGCTTCACTGATAACACAACATGAGGTCGAAAATGCTTTTTAGGAAGCTCCATTTTTATAATATGGCATAAACACGATGTTTACTGCATCTATTGTTAGTAAATAACTAAATACTCGTATTATGGAATAATATTAAAGCATTAAGAAACAATAGTTGTTGGAATGTCTTCGGCAACACTGATATTAGTATCATATCTTGCAAAACTAAATCATACTCTTAATACATCCAAGAATGAATATTTATTGAAGAAAAAATCATTTTAACGATATACTATCTTTAGTCTGTATTTCAAATTGAACCTATTAAAAATCTCGCACAGCGCCATTGCGGTCCGGTTTTTCATTTTCTGGTTAACTTGTGGTTCAAATATTTAAACTAAATCTTATCTGATTATGATGTGAAAAGTGTGTTTTGATACGTATGAATTAAACCGATTAATCGATTTTGTAGTTGTATTTAAAATTATTAAAACCATCAGTTTAATGATAAACATTGATCATAGTAAAACAATTTTCATAACAAAACATAGTAAAACAGTAAAACTTATCATAAAATTAAGCCTAAATCACACGAATTAACCAGAAAATGAAAAGCCGGGCCTGCATGTTATCAGTCTTTTATAAAGACACGAAATAAAAAGAACGCACATGTCGTTCCCACGATACGGAACATCTACGAAATGTGTAAAGCATGTGCTTTAGAAATTAATGGCAACTGACCTTTCTCAAGCGCCGTCTCTCGCGCAAGGTGGCTGCTTTCCTTCGATCGACGGTGACCGTCTTCTTCTTGCAGGCCTTGCAGGCCCACAGAAGACACCTGCGCGGCCCATGGGGCGAGCCGGCGTCCAAAACGTGAGGATGGGGCACATGCTCGATCGACTCGCCCTCGTTCGCTTCGCTCGTCTCGTTGGTTTCGTTGGCCTCGCTGATCTCGTTGGTCTCGTCGGCGTCCGCGGAGCCGGACTCGAGATCGGCCGATGCGTCCGCCGATATCACTGACGAGGCGTCATCCGAATCGAGGGTGTATCGAGACTGCGACCTGAAGGATAACGAATCGTTTCTATACCTATCGGAATTACTGGTGGAGGAACAATGTGTTAAAAATAATTAACCTGTCCTCGTCCTTTCTTGCCCTACTTATATATAGATATATATTACTGTTACTTGTCGACTTGAAATAATTTTCATACTTGCCCTAGCACACGTATTTTTTTAAAATGGATCTTATTTTCAACGTGCAATATTTTCAAGAAAGAAAAAACGATATAATTTAACACGCTTTGATAAAGCTCTCTAAAAATTTCAATTTCCGATTGGGAACAAATTCCGTTCGATAACAAATTATTCGTTATTTGATGTCGTAAAATATTACGTAGAGATATCCAGTTTACGATAAAGCCGCGCATATCCTCGCGTGTATATAGGTATATACCGCGTATACATACCGCGACATAAACTTCGTTTCGCGAAAGACGAACGAGCTATTGCGGCGCCGCGCCGTGAGCTGAACGTAAAAGCCGCGTCAACTTACCGGACGCTGAAAGGCCCGGCATAGATATTTAACCGAGTAAACGAATTCGTAGATTCTTGCCTTAATCATCCTTTAGTTATCGCCGGCAGTTAATGACGGACGCAGGCGCGTAGGTCCGTCAGGAGGCGTTTTCCGCGATTGGACACGTTCCAGGTGGTCTCCCGCGGAGAATGTATTTCTCGGCGAGAGGGATGGATGTATAAAGGCGAAACGCGATGAACGAAGTGAAAATGGTTTAATGCGCGGTAAAGCCGTCATCGAGTTCTCATTGAGGATAATGACTCTCGCCCGCTTCGATTCGGTTATGCGACAATCATAAACGCGTCGATCTCATATGTATTTAAATTTCATAGTATCGTAGAACAGAAGAGTCAAAGGAGAGTAAAAAAATTAATTAAAAAAAATTGGAATAGACTTGTCAGATAAAATAAGAAAAACACAAAAATGCAATGGTGTATAATTTTTTAAAATAAAAATATTAAAATATCTTTTTACGTTTTTAAAATATATTAGTTTAATATTGAAAGAATATTTGAATAGATTTTCTTAATTTTTAATGAGTCATCGTATAACACAACTGAGAGAGAGAGAGAGAGAATATTACCTAAAGAAATATATTTCTATATGCTAATCGTATGCGAAATTCATTGTGTAATTCATACGAATTAAAATTCTCCATGGTGCAAATGAATACCACTAATGATATAATACTAATTTGTAAAAGCATACCTCAGCTTTGTGCTTTGATAGTAAAACTCTATTCGTTGGGTAAATCTGATTTGGTCACGCAAAATTCAATAATGCTTCGATACTACAAAGGTAAAAGCCAAGAGGAGAGAAATGCTGCAAATAGATGACTGATCATAGAGCACGATACAAAATATAACAATTTGAGAGAAAAACTGTATTTGTACAGATAAACACGAACAAAAAATAAAATTCATCTAATCACTTTATAAGACTAATTTAAAGGAAATTTGAACAAAAAATTTCATATTATATGTATGTTTATCTTTGTTATATTATGCTCAGTTCAACAAAGTACATTTTTACACATACACATACAGAATTTTAAGTAATCGAATAATGGATAGTACAAGTAGAACAAATAGTAAATGGAAACAATGGCGAATAGTAAATGAGATTCGAATTTGATCCTCCAATGCAACACGGCGAATGTTACAAACGACAAAAGAAACGAGAAAAACAGGCAAGAATCTTGAGAGATGATCAATCTTGTCATCTAGCGCAATGAAGAACAATTAGTCATATTTTCGAAGGTATCCATTAGAACCTGAAGTTTTCAAACGCTAATTCATCAAATGTCATGTTCTTCTTGCGAAAATCCAATATACTTGAGGAAGGATTAAAGTATTATATTTCAATTTTTCCGACGATATATTTGTGAGTGCCAATCATATTCTATAGAAACGCGATATATATAACTGTGCTTAGGTAACTCTTTCCCTCATCCCCAAGATGTTATAATATCAACTTGTGCTAACTTTAATGTAATAATGTGAAATATCGACATATATATAAAGTATAGAAACGTTCGATTCACTCCATCGTTTTGAATTATAAAACCGATTTTCGTTTGCGGGTGCAATTTTCTTTTAAAAAGATATCAAATCAACCGTACGTTATTGAAAGATAAGAAAAGGAAAAAACGGCAGAAAAGAAATCTCGAAGAGATTTCTCAAAAAGATTGTTATCAATAAAATAAATTACAACAGTGTATTTTAACAGAACAATGCAAGAGATGTTCTTCGCGGAATATATACTCGCGAATACATAGGACGTTGTATGACCCGTATTTCATTGTCTCCGTGTGCTATAATTATTTCCGAAGTTACGCTTACATTTTATGAAGCAAATAATATAGAGACGGAGAAAGATAAAGCGGGAGAGACAAGCAAGATACTATGAAGTTGCGATGCACTGACAGGAACGGAAACCAGAGCACTCAGTCCTCAGAAGGAACAAATCAACTTAATCCTTAAAAGGAATAACAAAAGCTTTTGTACAACGAAAGCGTTCGTAATTATAAAATATTGTACAATATATGATATTACATATAAATAAAGACATATTTCTTTTTCAAAATTAATTAATTAAACTTAATTAAAACAATTAAATAAATATAAAAAATAGGACTCAATAATAGGAATCAATTTTTAATGCATTTTTGTCAAAACTAGATTAATTGCATATCTCGCGAGAGAAAATCGAGTTTTCGTTACTTGATCAATAATATTATCTTAAGAATACAATGACATTGATATGCATGAAACCGTTCTAGGATTCCTTGCGGCAAAACTTAATTTAAAGTTTCCTCGTATCACTCCATTGATAGAGTCGCAGTGGCCTGAATTTGAAGACCGTCAAACGGGTGCTAATAATGTGACCTGGATAAAAGCTCACCTGACTCGGTCGTTGCGATAATTCAACGAGCCGGCCGACGCCAAAGCGTTGTTAACGCCGATAATCCTCGCGCGGTCGTCCGTGTCCCTCCTGGTGACGTATCCCTGCAGATACTCGGATTCGGTCGGCGTATAAACGCGCCGATATCGATGGGGATGATGAGGATGATGATGGTGGTGATGATGGTGATGCAAATGGTGACGGTAACCGTCGTAGGCCGACCTTGTGACCGCTTCGTAGGCGTAGGGCACCGTGTCCGTCACGAAGGTCATCATCTCACGACGCGATTCGTCGTCGGCGAAAGCGTGCGACGGTCACGGTTGTACTCGATCACTCGAGGCAGGCCTCGAAGCGCACCGATCCGTCCGCGTGTTCACTCTCGCGCGAACTCATCACGGACTGACGTGAAACGGTCTGCGAAATCGCGCGTAGCTTAATTCAATTTTCCCACGGGTGACATCACCTGCGTCTTGATCATTGCGTTCTCCATCAAACAAACCACTTGTCCGATTTCCTCGGCTGTGTATACTTCAACTATTGGGGGAAGATTTGAATAGAAATTCGCTATGGGCGAAGATACGATCTATCCAGATGACAGTCCGGGTCGTAATGCAATCAAAAGTTAGTCGATCTGAAGACAGAGGTGACCGACGCCGACGAAGGTGCCTGTCGTCAAATCGCGACAGCGTCTTTCTCTCTGCTCTTCCTCGCGACGATGGCGACTAATTTACTTTTCTCTTCTTCTCTTTAGAACGGATGATGAATCACTAATCCCGGCGAGGACACGAACGCACACGATGGTCGGTGTTAACTTCTCCTTTAACTTCCCCGTTAACTTTACCGAGTCCAAGGCGCCTGGCCAATTCCATCCAAAGTGCGGGATTTTCCGCTCTGATTCGCTAAAACCACTAAGATTCCACCCTCGCGCGTCACTCGTTGTTTAAGTTGCTCAACTCACTCTACTGCTCGCCTCTTTTCGACCTTGCGGCGATTTTTGCATACACGATGACCGGCGCAGCTCGGATTTATTCAGTCGTGGATCGAGATAAAAGGCCGAGAAGAACTTTACAAAACTTACGAAACACGATCAGAGTCAAAACGCTTCGCGCCAATCGATGATGCGCGTAACTCGAGATGTACGGCGCGAGCGCACTTTCGTCTTGCGATCTATAAAGATCGCGCGAGAGAAACAAGCCGCACTCTTCAACTAATCGAGAAGACAAGATATATGTATTTTGGAAGAAGATCACTCCATCCCAATGTCGCGAGAGTCTCGTGGACGGGGAGAGAAACTTCCGCGCGGTTATCCGAGCCGGTCGACGTACCAGACGCGGACAGATCCGAAAACCTCGTAGTCAGAGATCAGAGTGAAGACTTGGGCATCCTCTTGGGTAGTTGTCGGTCCCTCCGCCACATGGCATCTCTTGACGCGCCCGAACGCGTGTCGTTAAGCTCGCTCGTTCGGTCGCTCGCGCACGCACACTCGCTCGTATAAGAGACACGTCGGGATTATTTTACGCGTTACACGTACCGTCGCACTGTACCGGTCACACCCAGGCTGACTATTTTTAAGGACGCCCGGCCAATCACGACCGAGGAAAATCGCCTTCGAACCCGCTGTCGCTCCGCCTCTGTGCTGTCATAGATGCACGAGTTTGGCAGGGATTCATCACGGGGTGTGGTTTAATCATTAATGAGAGTTAGATTCGTCGCTTTCGGACGGGAGCTTTCGGCCGCGGCAAAATCACCGGCGAGCGCGGCGTCGGCTATTACGCGCGAGCCTGGGGTTTAAATCAACGCCTGGTAGCACGGTGGTCCGAAAGCATAACAACCCGGACGAAGTGCTAATCGACTAAGGACTGCTATCACGAACATTAGTTGCGGTTAACTGAGATTTAAACGTTTCTCGGTTTCTCCTCCTTCCAGCTTCCTCTGGAGCAAGACAGATTATTTATCATGTTAATATTAATTAATGTTTCTATAGTAGGAATTTTATATATCGCTCATACATTCCTTTAGCAAAAACACGTTCATCATTGATTTATTATTAAATAGACATATAATTTGACTTTTGAATTATTTTAAGCGCCGTACCTAACAGACAACACTTTGATAATAAAATAAAAACAATTTGCAACCATAAGTTTCCTCTACTATATATAAAAGATCTATATATAGAAGAAGATATATAAAAGATCTTTCGATTTAAAAGATCTCTCACATCGGTCCTTCAAATCTGTTATTAATTATATCAATTAATTTAGACACCATATAATGTTCCTTCTATCACCTCTCTCTCTCTCTCTCTCTCCCTCACTCTCTCTCTGAGAAAGAACTTTGGCTTAATTTTTGACATCCCTATAAAAATCGTAAAACAAAATAACTCGATCTTTCTCATAATTATTAATTGCAATATTCAATTTCCGATCGTTTTCTAATTTAACTGTATCAATTATACATATAGATATTTCACCCGGCGAATTTCTGCGGATGTTGCGACTCGCCAGCAGTTTCTGGTACGTTCCAGCGTGATTTAAAAATGTTTAACTGAAACGTACCAATTTATAGTCGGACACTAACAAAAAGAAAAAATGTTCATTACAGTGAGCCGTGGTTTTTGACAGATACTCCAATACGCGTCCGATAGTCGATCCGATTTGCGGTCTGACTGGAGGGTGGTGGGAGGGAGAGCAAAGAAGGAGGGAGGGAGCAGAGAGAGCGCAAGGAAGCTATAGTGAAACTGCACATATAGGGCGCCTATATAGATAGCTGTCGACTCGCCGGCTAGTTACGCAGATACGTATACTTTATGTAAATCTAACGGTGTCTGTCACATTTTACGCTCCGCGCTTTCAGAGAATTAAAATAGACTATTGAGCGTCGAATAAAAGCTAAAATTGCCCTGGCAACGATCCAGACGCACGGAGATAGAAAACGGGGTGAAGTTTTAGCCTACCGCGGAACATCGGTTCCGTCAAATACCGTTCGCCATAATAATTCCGCACTCACGCGTGCGAAAGCGCAGTGAGAGTGTCCACGCGGAAACGACGGCGTTCAAACTGGGCGATTACGTTTTCCGCAGCGAAGTAACGTGCGATCGAACGTCGGAAATCACGAGTCACGTCATCGCGTAAACGCGTTCGGAATTTTTCGATGCAGTACAGCGTAATATCCCGATTATAGGAAAAACAAGAATAGTTCACGAGAACAAGCATCGGCTAATCGATGTTCCAGAGATACAGGCTTATTAACTCTGTGCAATCCTATGCGGAGTTTGAGCTGACGTAATACTTCGCATAGAATTCTCAAACAATTGAAACAATGCACGATTGCGAATTCAGTACGAGTTAAATTTTTTTAAATATTTCACAAACATAAATTCCTCAAAAGAGAATAATAATAATAATTTTTATTAAATAAATAATGATTTGGTATCATTTGAAAATTATTATTTATTATTTAATTAAATAACAAAGTTTTTCAATTCGTATATTAGAACAAATTGAGAATAATATAATATTTGTTTTTCGCTCATCTGTGAAAAATAATTGAAACTGCCAAGAATTATTCGCAAGCATGATAAAATAAGCACAAAATATATATACTATAAAATAATTTAATTACGCATATATTTTTGTGTTACGTAATTGCCGATTCTGGAACCGATTAAATGGGACTATCTCGCTTCGCGGCGAAGCAACGGTTGAATACTGAATCATGACATCACTTGTCCAAACATGCACGTTCGAAATCACTGTCCGGCGTTTAATATGCTGTGCGCTGATTATAGAAGAACGGGCAGCGGTGCCGAATAAATGAGAAATATGTGTCCGCATTTATCGCGTATAAATTTAATAGCGACAATATGTAATTGTATATTGTGTATTAATTGTGTAACTAATCTTCAAATATATTACTAATATTCAAATATATTGTACCTAATCTTTCAGATATGAAAACATTCTTTGAAAATGAGCAAGGACATAAAGTTAATTCGTCATTTGCATATATGCAATTTCATTGCGGAAGGTTTCTGTTTCAATCAACAGAAATTGAAAGCTATATTGATCAGTTTACGGTTTATAATTCAGCTGATTGCTAATCGACGATTTCTACGATTAAAAATCAAGTAGAAAGGAGCTGGCATATATAGTATATATAATTCCTCTTTAAAGCCTCTCTCGCGCTCGGAAAATTACAAAGATGCTGCATCGAAGCGCACTATCGGGCATCGTTAATGAGGATCCTTTCGGAAAGAAAACTCACGCTGCCAATATATACATATATATATATATAGGCGTCACGGCGCTTATATCCGCGACAAGGACTTTTATTAAAATCCCATCCCGCGCAGTTCCGCGACCCCGGTACCTCTTGTCAGAAGAGACAAGGCCAATTATCGTTAAAAGCGGTTATTATCGGACGACGTTAGAAATCCCCGAGATGAGAGTGCGGGGCGAGTTTCATCCCCCGCTCGTGGACAATGCCATATACCATACGTCGCGAGTGTAAAGACGCGCCCTTCGCGTTTCCGTCCCTCCCCCCTTCCACCCCCGGTCGCAAGCAACCCGGTGAGAGGAGCGGTGAGCTCGGACTTCATTTCTCATTCGCTGTCGCAGCATCCGGTGGTACATGCCCGAAGAACACCCACATGAGCTCCTGCATTCCCGCATACTGTACCCGCGATGCACGCGCGCGCGCGCCCATCCGCACGCGCTCGTATGCATATGTAAACACGAATATATATAT